GGCCAGGAGTTTGAGATCAGCCTAGGCAACATAGCAAGACCCATATATATATAGTTTATTAATTAAAGGAAGGAAGGAAGGAAGGAAAAGAAAGAAAGAAGGGAAACAACGCCAATAAGACACAGAGAGAAAAGCGAAAACTAAGAGTGCAGAAGAGATTGATTTTATGGATGGAACCACGAGGTCTCCATCCTTTAGCCTGAAAGCTCCAGAAGAGCAAGGATTTTGTCTGTTTTTGTTCATTACGTATCGTCAACTCTTTGAAGAGTGCCTGCAGTTGCCAACATGAACACAAGGTGGCAGTATTTACAAGCCCTGGAGTTTTCAAGCTCCAAGGTCCCAGAGACGGCGGTGGACGGTTTGTGCCTCTGACCTCTGACTTTCAGGATCTCTTCCCCCGGGCTTAGCCCTGCCTTTCCCAGCACAAGCCCTAGGCGATGAATGACCTTTCCGCCTGAGACACCCTCTTCTTCACTCTCCTTCACCACCCTGCCCAGTTAAACAACTCTTTGTCCCTGTCCCCTTCCTGCTGGGCCCCGAGGCACCTGGGTTATTTCCAGGCCCGGAGATGGAGCTGCAACAGAGCTGGTGCCGCTGGGACAAGGCCAAGGAAAACTCCTGGAGACTCGTCCTATAGACACAGGAGTTCAGACCCCAGCCCCTCCTCCCTCAGACCCAGGAGTCCGGGCCCCCAGCCCCTCCTCCCTCAGACCAGCAGTCCAGACCCCAGCCCCTCCTCCCTCAGACCCAGGAGTCCAGGCCCCCAGCCCCTCCTCCCTCAGACCAGCAGTCCAGACCCCAGCCCCTCCTCCCTCAGACCCAGGAGTCCAGACCCCAGTCCCTCCTCCCTCAGATCCCAGAGTCCAGGCCCCCAGCCCCTCCTCCCTCAGACCAGCAGTCGAGACCCCAGCCCCTCCTCCCTCAGACCCTGGAGTCCAGGCCCCCAGCCCCTCCTCCCTCAGACCAGCAGTCCAGACCCCAGCCCCTCCTCCCTCAGACCCTGGAGTCCAGGCCCCCAGTCCCTCCTCCCTCAGACCTAGGAGTCCAGGCCCCCAGCCCCTCCTCCCTCAGACCCAGGAGTCCAGACCCCAGCCCCTCCTGCCTCAGACCCAGTAGTCCAGGCCCCCAGCCCCTCCTCCCTCAGACCAGCAGTCCAGACCCCAGCCCCTCCTCCCTCAGACCTAGGAGTCCAGACCCCAGTCCCTCCTCCCTCAGACCCTGGAGTCCAGGCCCCCAGTCCCTCCTCCCTCAGACCCAGGAGTCCAGACCCCAGCCCCTCCTGCCTCAGACCCAGAAGTCCAGGCCCCCAGCCCCTCCTCCCTCAGACCAGCAGTCCAGACCCCAGCCCCTCCTCCCTCAGACCTAGGAGTCCAGACCCCAGCCCCTCCTCCCTCAGACCCTGGAGTCCAGGCCCCCAGTCCCTCCTCCCTCAGACCTAGGAGTCCAGGCCCCCAGTCCCTCCTCCCTCAGACCAGCAGTCCAGACCCCAGCCCCTCCTCCCTCAGACCTAGGAGTCCAGACCCCAGTCCCTCCTCCCTCAGACCCTGGAGTCCAGGCCCCCAGTCCCTCCTCCCTCAGACCTAGGAGTCCAGGCCCCCAGTCCCTCCTCCCTCAGACCAGCAGTCCAGACCCCAGCCCCTCCTCCCTCAGACCCAGGAGTCCAGACCCCAGTCCCTCCTCCCTCAGACCAGCAGTCCAGACCCCAGCCCCTCCTGCCTCAGACCCAGAAGTCCAGGCCCCCAGCCCCTCCTCCCTCAGACCAGCAGTCCAGACCCCAGCCCCTCCTCCCTCAGACCCTGGAGTCTAGGCCCCCAGCCCCTCCTCCCTCAGACCCAGAAGTCTAGGCCCCCAGCTCTTTCCTCCTGTACCCCTCCTCTTAGGCATTTTGAGGTCCTCTGCTATTCCCTTTCCCTCTCTTTTATAGAAACCCCTCCCTCCCTCCACTCCCCACTCTAGGACTGAGACCAAGGCTGAGTCACAAGAAGCCCTGGGGCCCTGAGTCACCTCTCCCTCCCCCCTTAGCCCCTCCCTGGCTGGAGGCAGCTGGCTGTGAGCGAGGTGGTTTCCTGCGACTGACCCCTGCATCCCAGGACTTCAGCTTGAAGGCAGGTGCCCTCCCCATTGCCGCCACCCAGGCCTGCCCATGCCCAGCCTTTGCTGTTTTTCTCTTTCAGTCATGGTCTGTTTGGAGACAAAATTCCTCTGTGCGCTGAGTTCCGTGTCTTGATTCTGTTTCCGGTTTCTTTGCACCTGTGTCTCTTTGTTTTTTTTTTTTTTAAATACACGCCCCCCCCACCTTCCCTGGCTAAACTGCTCTAGGTCTCTCTGATTATCCCTCTCCCTCTGTGTCAGTCTCTGTGTCCATTTTTCACAAGTGCCTGGACTGGGGCACAGATGCCGTGGCACAGCTGCAGCTGGAGCGTTCTCTATTTAGTGGCTTCTCACCCTCGGGTGGCCGCAGTCTCTGGACCACTGGCCTTCAGCCTCTCAGTGGGGCTGGGGTAGAATTGCCAATGAACAGCTAAGATAAACTGAGGCACAGACAAGCACAGAGAGGCCTGGACAGAGAGAGAGAGAGAGACCCAAAAGGAGGCCTGGAGGCAGGGAGAGAGTGAAACAGAGACAGAGAGAAGCATCGATCCAGCAAGAGACAGACAAAAACAGAGGACGCTAGAGACAGAGAGATGGAGACACAGGCAACGATGAACACAGAGAGAGACATAATGGCAGAGAGACAGCGACCGGAAGAGAGAAGGAAACAGGAGCAGAGGGGGACACAAAGTTGGAGAAAGGAACAGAGAGATGAGAGAGACACAGAGAAGCTAAGAGAGGCAGAGGCACAGAGACAGAGTGGAGACAGGTAGAGACAAAGGTACCAAGAAAGAAAAGCAGAGACAGATAGAGACAGAGATAAAGAGAAACCCAGATAAAGAGAGCCTGACTCGGTGGCTCACGCCTGTAATCCCAGCACTTTGCAAGGCCGAGGCGGGCGGATCACCTGAGGTCAGGAGTTCAAGACCAGCCTGGCCAACATGGCAAAACCCCGTCTCTACTAAAAACACAAAAATTAGCTGGGTGTGGTGGTGCGTGCTTGTAGTCCCAGTTGCTTGGGAGGCTGAGGTAGGAGAATCACTTGAACCCAGGAGGCGGAGGTTGCAGTGAGCTGTTATCACGCCACTGCACTCCAGCCTGGGAGACAGAGCCAGACTGCATCTCAAAAAAAAAGACAAACCCAGAGGCTTCCAGACCAGGAGAGGCTGAGACAGGAAGCAAACCTCAGAGAGAGAGCCAGGTGCCAGGCTGCCAGGGTGGCCAGTGAGCAAGGGTGCCCAGGCTGCAGGCTCAAGGGTGCCCGGCGGCTACACTTTTCCCGAGTGGATGCCTGTGTGGTGTCTGGGCACGCCTGGATGTGTCTCTAGCCCTCTCCTGTCAAGTCTCGCTGAGTGGGAATAGTGTGTGTGTGCGCCGAGGGGCGGGGTCCCCGCGAGCGTTGTGTTTTTGTCAGTGGGCGTGTCCGTGTGTAGGGTTCTATGGTTTGATATCTCTGGGTGTGTCCACATGGGCTGCCTCAGTGTGCAGCCAGGCATGTCTGTTCATGTCTTGCTTCCCTGGGGCTGGTGGGTCCAGGGTCCCAGTCCCACATGACCTAGGACACAAGGAGGGAGAGGGCTGTGTCCTTGGGTTCCTCGCAGAGAGGTGCATATGAGGCCAAAGGCAGTGTTACCAGATCAGTGCATAATGTGTGTCACCAGGTCAGTGCCTTCTGTGGGTCTGCATAGGAGGGTTTCGATCTGTGCTGGCGCGGATGGCGTACACACCCATGAGTGGCTTGTGCTGTGGCACATGGTGATGTCCTAGGTCATGTGTCGCTCTGGGAGTCTTGATGTGCCTTCCACACTGCATTTGCTGCTGTGTGGGTCAGTATGTGTGTCTTCTCTTGGTGGGTTGTATGTAACATTGTGGGCTGGTCGTGGTGGCTCACACCTGTAATCCCAGCACTTTGGGAGGCTGAATCAGCTCCCACCTGAGGCAGATCCACCTGAGGCAGGTGGATCAGCTGAGGTTGGGAGTTTGAGACCAGCCTGACCAATGTGGGGAAACCCCATCTCTACTAAAAATACAAAATTAGCTGGGTGTGGTGGCGCATGCCCGTAATCCCAGCTACTGCTGAGGCAGGAGAATCACTTGAACCCGGGAGGTGGAGGTTGCCATGAGCCAAGATTGCACCACTGCACTCCAGCCCGGGGGACAAGAGCAAAACTCTGTCTCAAAAAAAAAGAAAATGAACAAAAAACATTGTGTACCACTCAGGGGTGTGATCAGGTCAGGGTGCATGTCCCTGTTGGGGGCCTCTTCCTTCCCAGCCCCAGCACCCCGCCTGAGTACCAGCCACCCCAAGTGGCTGAGTACCAATGCTTGTGTAGCTGTGTTACCTTGTGTTAGAGGATACGCCCCTCCCCCACTGCCAGTGTTGTGTGGGTGGTGGTGGGCTCAGTGTCAGTGGTATCAGTGGGTGACACGTGGTGTTTGATGGGACACGTGGTCGTCTGTAGAAGTTTGCATGTGTTGGGAAATGTGTGTCTGTGTGTTCTGTGTGCATGCTGGTGTATTGCTCTGTGTCTGTTGTTTGTGTGGCCACGCATGCTGGAGTATATGTGCTGGGTCACGTGGAGGTATCGCATGTGACGTTTGGATGTGGCTTCTGGGTCGGAGGTGATGGTGTATGTTGCGTTTGGTTTTTTGTTTTCGTTTGTTTTGGAGATGGGATCTTGCTATTTTGCCCAGGCTGGTCTCAAATGCCTGGGCTCAAGCAGTCCTCCCACCTCAGCCTCCCAAACTGCTGGGATTACAGGCATGAGCCACGGCACCCAACCATATGTTGCATTTGGGCATAGGGGCCTCTGTAAGTCCAACCCCACCCCCCTTCCCCGGGGCATCGTCCTGGGTTGTGTCCTGTGTGGCCAGAATATGTCAGAGTCATCTTGCTTTAGGCAGCTGCTGGTTGGGTTTCTCCGGGTGTCGCTGTACCTTGTGGGTCTCTGCATCCACTCAGCTCGTCCTCTGAACATACATTTGAATCGCGTCATGCACGGGCGTGCTGGATCGGTATGTATTGTGAATCATCACTGTGAGCATTTGTGTTGGAGTTGCCAGGTGCCACAACGTGTGTGCATTTCCCTTGGTGCTGGGCGATTGGGGGCTGCTATAGGTATGTCCCTAAGTGTTGTGTGTCTGCACGTATCGGGTTTCATTCCAAGGGTGTATAGTGTTTACGAGACTGAAGACTGCACAGTGGTAACGTAGGTGCATGGTATGTGGCGTCACATATGTTGTGTGCTTGTGTAACATTTGGTGTATGTTGTCTTTGTGTGGCCACAGATGTGCATCATCCGATTTGTGCTGTTTGGATGTGTGTCAGAGTAAGTTGTGGGCTGGGCACAGTGGCTCACACCTGTAATCCCAGCACTTTGGGAGGCCTAGGCAGGCAGATCACCTGAGGTCAGGAGTTCGAGACCAGCCTGACCAATATGGTGAAACCTGGTGTCTACTAAACATACAAAACTTGGCCGGTTGTGGTCATGGGCACCTGTAGTCCCAGCTACTTGGGAGGCTGAGGAGGGAGAATCGCTTGAACCCGGGAGGCGGAGGTTGCAGTGAGCCGAGATCACACCACTGCACTCCAGCCTGGGTGACAGTGTGAGACTCCGTCTGAAAAAAAAGAAAAAGAGTTTGACAACTTTGACTGTAATATTTGTGCCTGTCTGTGGACGGTGTTTGGGTGGCTGTGTGCGCCGAGGGATGCTGCCTGCCTTGCTGAGGGGTGGTGTGTGTCACACCATGTGTGTGGTGTCTGGGTGTGGCTGTGGGTTTCGGAGCTCTCTGGGAGTTGTGAGTCACTCTATGTAGGTTGTGTTGTGTGCCATGGTGTGTTAGTCTCCGTCTTGGGCGGTGAAATGGCCTGCAGTGTCTGGATGTGGTGAGTGGAGGTGTGTGTCACAAGGTACAGACCGTTGTGTGTGACAAAACCCAATGTGTGTTGGTGTGTGTCTTTCTCCACGTGGATAGATGTCTCTTCTTCGCTCTGCCCCAAGACACACCCCTGCCCCTCCTTAGTCTCGAAAGGGGGGGCTGGGGAGCCTCCCCCTACCCCAGGCCTCCTCTGCCCCTCCCCGCCCTGCCTGGCCGTCACCACTCCCCAGAGGGCACAGGGCTCTGCTGTGCCTCAGAGCAAAAGTCCCGGAGCCAGCAGAGCAGGCTGACGACCTGCAAGCCACAGTGGCTGCCCTGTGCATGCTGCGAGGTGGGGGACCCTGGGCAGGAAGCTGGCTGAGCCCCAAGACCCCGGGGGCCATGGGCGGGGATCTGGTGCTTGGCCTGGGGGCCCTGAGGCGCCGAAAGCACTTGCTGGAGCAGGAGAAGTCTCTGGCCGGCTGGGCACTGGCGCTGGCGGGAATTGGCATCGGACTCATGGTGTTGCATGCAGAGATGCTGTGGTTCGGGGGGTGCTCGGTGAGTGGGGCCTGGTGGCTTCGAGCCAGGATTCCTGGGTCTGAGGGAAGAGGGGCTGAGGGTCAGGACTCCTGGGTCTGAGGGAAGAGGGGCTGAGGGTCAGGACTCCTGGGTCTGAGGGAGGAGGGGCTGAGGGTCGGGACTCTTGGGTCTGAGGGAGGAGGGGCTGAGGGTCGGGACTCCTGGGTCTGAGGGAGGAGGGGCTGGGGGTCGGGACTCCTGGGTCTGAGGGAGGAGGGGCTTGGGGTCAGGACTCCTGGGTCTGAGGGAGGAGGGGCTGGGGGTCGGGACTCCTGGGCCTGAGGGAGGAGGGGCTGGGGGTCGGGACTCCTGGGTCTGAGGGAGGAGGGGCTGGGGGCCTAGACTCTTGGGTCTGAGAGAGGAGAGGCTTTGGCTGGGACTAGTTGCTGGGGGCCTTCTCTGCAAAAGGAAGGGAATATTTGTCTCAGGGTTTCAGTCTTTGAAGATGTTGCAATAGATGGCCAGAGGTTCAGGACCCCTGGAGGCCAGAAGGTGGCTGGTCAGACACTCAAGTACCCCAAGAGCCTATAAGGGGAGAGGTGGCCCCAAGTAGGGTGAAGGGAGGGTGGAGGAAAGACAAAGTTCTTCTAGGAGTCGGCAGCTCTTTGGTCCTTATCTAGCTTCTAACGTTTACCTAACGCCTTAGATGCAAAGGGCAGAAGAAACTGGCTGGGGTGGGGATGGGAAATGGGAAACAAACCTCTTCCCCACCTGCCTCCCCCATCCCACCCCCAACCCAGTCTCCATCCTTAACAAGCCCAATTTCTCCCCACATCTACATGCTGATAAGTTAGGGAAATGGTGTCAGGGTAGGCTTACAGTGGCCTGGACTCCTAGGTACCAGGGGAGGAGAGGCTGGGTCCTGGACTCCTAGGTACCAGGGGAGGAGGGGCTGGGTCCTGGACTCCAAGGTGCCAGGGGAGGAGGGGCTGTGTCCTGGACTCCTGAGTCTTGAGGAGAAGGGGGCTTGGAATGTCTTTGGGGCAGAGGGGCTGACTCTGATGATCCTGGTGAGTCGGTAAGGGGAAGGTGGGGTCAGGACAGGTCTCAGCAGGCCCCTGTCACATTCCAGCCCTGGTCAGGCCAGTGATCAGGGCAGATGAAGGACAAGGGTTGGAATAAGTGGCTTGAGGGGAGAACAGACTTGCTCAACAGGAAAGGAGGGGCTGGAGACCTCTCTGGGGGAAGGGTTGTGGAACTGGGCTGGTAGGGCCAGTGGTGGACACTGATTTGAAAGTCAGGTAGATTCCTGAGGGTCTGATGCTCTGACTTGGATCTGGAGGGTGTGGTGGGCAGCTCTGGAGTGACCAGGAGCCACATGGAGGGTCAGGCAGGCAGCTTCCTCTGGCCGGCGGCGGGCACTGAGGGGGTGGGGCCACCGAATCCCATGCCAACAGGAAGCATGGCCGGGGCCTGCTCTCCGCTCCCACGCCGAATCACCACGCCCAGCAGCCGAGGTGGGAACACAATGACCCTGGCAGATGGGAAGAGACGGGGGTCCTTCCTACCCCCGCCCCCGCTTTCTCACCCCTCATTTCTCCCTGCCCTCCACCATGGCCAGGGCACCATCTCTTATCAGTGGGACCTTGGGAAATCTGTTGCAACTCTCTGAACCTCAATCTCCCCATCTATAAATTGGGGCGAGGGTTAAAATACATGACCCTAAGGGTCATCCTCTACCCTTTTTAATTTTTTTGTAGAGATGGGATCTTGCTTTGTTGTCTAGGCTGGTCTTAAACTCCTGGACTCAAGCAATCCTCCTGCCTCAAAGTGCTGGGATTACAGGCCTGAGCCACAGCTCCTCAGTCCCCATTTGAGGGATCTGTTAGTAAGATCCACGTCCCCTTCCCACCTCCATCTCAATCTAATGAACTCATTTCTGCAAAGGACCCAGACACCTGCTCCCTGGGGGGAGGGGATGGCAGAGAGGCAGGTACCAAACCCTAGGGAGTCCAAGGGACCCAGATAGATCCAAAGGCACCAGGTGGGATGGAGGAGGGGGGATGGGAAGAGGTGGGGACAGAGACAGAGATGCATGGAAAGAAAAAGAGACATGGAGACAAAGATGCAGAAAGAGACAGAGAGGTACAGCTAAAGAGAAAGACAAAGGGCTGTTGAGCTGCTGAGAAATCCACCAGTGAGAGATACACACAGAGCATTAGAAAAGCCGAGAGAAACAGAGACCCTCAAAACACATGGAGAGACAGAAACAACCATCCCTAGAGACGGGGAAATTCAGAGACCAAAGTATAAGCCCATGTGTGGACAGGTCCAGGATTTGGGGGAAGAGGAATTGGAAAAGTAGAGGGGACCGCCAGAGCAGCGAATTGCAGTGTGGGGAGGGGGCCTGTGTTTAGTTGTGTGAGGGGTTGAGACAGACTGAAGAAGGATGCAAGGAACCAGGGAGCCATAGATGGTGGGGGAGGGCTGGTGACAACAACACCATTGTTCAGGTAGGAGGTGGGGGAACAGGCCCCTGGGACAGGAAACTGGCCCTCTTCCCCTGCTCAGAGGCGGGGCACTGGCCCAGCCTGGGGAGCTGGCAGCCCTTTTAGGAGAAACAGGTGCAGTGCTCTGTAAGGACACCCAGGTGGTCCCCATCCCCCTGCAAATAACCCGCCAGGCTGGGGCCAACCCCTCTTGGGAAATCCAACAGCCCCAGTCCCCTCTAAATCCCTCTCTCCAGAATCCTAGATTCCTCCAAGGTTGTGCCACACAAAGTGGGGGTGGGGGGAGCGGAAAAAAAGCAACAACAATCTCTCTGTGGTTTCTGGAAGCCCTGTGCTTCCGGCCAGATCTGCCCTGGGCTTAGAGCCAGAAGAGGGGTGGGGTGGGGGTGGCGAGGTGCAGGGGGCAGAAGTGAGGGGGCTGTCTCAGAGCTGAGGGTCAGGGCTCAGAGACTCAGCTCTCTGGATGAGGGCAGGGAATGGTGTGATTCAGTCCTTGAGGATTGAATGGTAGTTTCTGTGTTCTTCCAGATTTGGGGTTGGGAATGATTGAAGTTGGTTTCTAGGTCAACACCAGCTGGGTAGGAAAGGAAGGGGAGGGGGCACTCTCTAGAGGCTAGGTGTCATTTTCTAGACACCCCCCCACACACACATACACACAGCTGAACTAGTAGTTTTGATGGGGAACAGGACAGGAATAAGAAGGAATGTGAGTTTCAAGTCCCCCTTCATGGGTTTGGGTCTCGGGAGAAGAGCTGAGGAAGAGGGTAGACACCAGTATCTGGACAGCGTTGTCCTATTGGAGAGAAAGAGAGCATTCCTGGGGACGAGATGATGGTGGGTTTTTTGTCTGTTTGCTTATTTCGAAACAGAGATTTGCTCTGTCACCCAGGCTGGAGTGCAGTGGTGCCATCTCTCCGCTCACCGAAACCTCCACCTCCCAGGTTCAAGCGATTCTGATTCCTCGGCCTCCCAAGTGGCTAGGATTAAACACCCGGCTAATTTTTGTACTTTTAGTAGAGATGGGGTTTCACCAGGGCAGGTTGGAAACTCCTGACCTTAGGTGATCCACCTTCCTCGGCCTCCCACAGTGCTGGGAGTGCAGTGATTACACTGTGGGCCCAGACAATGGTTTTGAGACTTCCTCAGAACTGCCACATAAGAGGGACTGGACTGCACGGGAACTTGGCTAGGAAAATTGGGAATCAAGAAAAAAAATGGTGGTTTTAAAGGAAAGAAAAGGGGACTGACCAGGTGGAGAGACACCCGGGATCTCACCCCCCTGTTTCTGTCTCTCCCGACAGTGGGCGCTCTACCTGTTCCTGGTTAAATGCATCATCAGCATTTCCACCTTCTTACTCCTCTGCCTCATCCTGGCCTTCCACGCCAAAGAGGTCCAGGTAGGGCAGGCCCCACCCCTAAGCCTTGCTTCTCCCAAACCCCCGCAGCTCCCTGTCAGCTCACACTTTCCACTCTCCTCTCCTCCTGATCTGAGTAGTGAGGTTCCTCTGCCTCAGATGCTGCATCCACACCCTCACCCACCCAGATGAGCTGAACCAAGAGCAGACAGGCAGAACCTGCTGACCAGCCCTGCTCTTCCCCTGTGGCCCCCGGCCCCCCCTTGCACACTCATGGATGCTGAGAGCTCCCCTGCAGTGCTGCTTCTGCCCCCAGGCCTCTGTCCACTGTGCCCCAGGCAGCCTCAGCCTCCCAGATCCCTGTGCTCCAACATTCATCCCCAATCCAGTCCCCAAGCAACCTAAGGCCCCAGGGGTACCCACTCCTTTTTTTTTTTTTTTTTGGAGGCAGAGTCTTGCTCTGTTGCCCAGACTGGAATGCAGTGGCACGATCTCTGCTCTCTGCTCACAGCAACCTGTACCTCCTGAGTTGTTAAAGCAATTCTTGTGCCTCAGTCTTGCAAGTAGCTGGGACTACAGACAGGTGCCACATCGCCCAGCTATTTTTTTATTTTAGTAGAAACAGGGTTTTACTATGTTGCCTAGGCTGGTCTCCAACTACTGAGCTCAGGCAATCTGCCTGCCTTGTCCTCCCAAAGGGCTAGGATTACAGACTTGAGCCACCACTCCCAACCCAGTCCCCGGGGTGCCCATTCCTGTGTGGCACCCCTATCTCTGTGCCAGTAACCTCCCCATGCCCCAGACCCAGGAAGTCTCCCCATCCATACTCCACCTTGGATCTCACCCAGATACAACCCATCCCTCATCGCGCAGATCCTGTTACTCCATCCCTTTTCCCCCTTGCCCCTCTCCTATCACAACTTTGCATATAAAATGGGGATCATTGGCCATGTGTGGCAATTCTCTGAGCAGTGCCTGGTACATAGAGGTGCTCAGGAAACAGCGCACATTATCATCTTGTCATAGAGCAGTTAAGTGCCCAGTGCGCCATTCCTCATGGGAGGGACCCAGGCCTCAGTTTCCACATCTATAAAATGGGGGCAACAATAACAATCTCACAGGGCTGTAAGCATTTACTGAGTCACAACATGTAAACGGGATAGAGTGGTGCCTGGCTATCCACAGTGCCCAGTACATGCTGACTTTCTTATTGCTTTGTGGGTTTTTGTTTGTTTGTTTATTTTGAGATGGAGTCTCACTGTGTTACCCAGGCTGGAGTGCAGTGCCAAGATCTCGCCTCGCTGCAACCCCTGCCTCCCAGGTTCAAGTGACTCTCCTACCTCAGACTCTCGAGTGGCTGGGACTGCAGGTGTGCGCCACCATGCCCCGATTATTTTTGCACTTTTCAGTGGAGAAGGGGTTTCACCATATTGGCCAGGCTGGTCTGGAACTCTTGACCTCAGGTGATCCACCCACCTCAGCCTCCCAAAGTGATGGGATTACAGGTGTGAGCCATCGCCCTCGGTCCACGGCTTTGTTATTGCTGATATTATTATCATTACGTGTGTCACCTGAAATGGAGTAGGAGCGAGCTCCAGACATGTGGAATGCAAGCTCCAGGATGCAGGGGTTCTGTTTGGTTCACTGTGTGTCCTTAGCACATAGAACAATGCCAGGTACACAGTCTGAGATCAGTGAGGCTGGAAGTGGGACGAACCTGGTGGGGTGGGTGGTGAGGGAAAGGAGGAAAAAGTGGAGAGATGTCTTCCTCAAGTCCTGTCCGGCTCCCTCCCTGTCCGTCTCCCTCCCAGCGCTATCTCCCTCGCTCCTGGCCCGGGCCGGCAGGCACACCCCACTTATCTCAGGGCGCAGGCAGGCGCCGGCCACCGCCTGACCCGCGCCTGACCTGCGCCTGAACCCTCCCTTCTCGGCCCCTTCCCGGCAGCTGTTCATGACCGACAACGGGCTGCGGGACTGGCGCGTGGCGCTGACCGGGCGGCAGGCGGCGCAGATCCTGCTGGAGCTGGCGGTGTGCGGGCTGCACCCGGCGCCTGTGGGGGGCCCGCCGTGCGCGCAGGGTTCAGGGTCGCCGCTGACCTCGCTGCAGCCCTGGCCGGGATTCCTGAGCCAGGGGGAAGCGCTGCTGTCGCTGGCCATGCTGCTGCGCCTCTACCTGGTGCCCCGCGCCGTGCTCCTGCGCAGCGGCGTCCTGCTCAACGCCTCCTACCGCAGCATCGGCGCTCTCAACCAGGTCCGCTTCCGCCACTGGTTCGTGGCCAAGCTTTACATGAACACGCACCCCGGCCGCCTGCTGCTCGGCCTCACGCTCGGCCTCTGGCTGACCACCGCCTGGGTGCTGTCCGTGGCTGAGAGGTGAGGGTGCTGGAGGCCTAAATGCACAGGGGAGGGGAGGGGAGGGCACCCGGAATCCCGGACAGCCACAGCAGCCATCCTGTACCGCCGTGCAGGTTGAGGTCCCCTAGGACCAAGCAATGGAGAAAGTTCGCACTTTGAACCCTTTTCCTCTTGCTAGCTGAAATTTGCCCACACTCCCATCAACTGGCTGAGAGGAACCAACAGACAAGCCCCCAGCCAAAATCCTCCACTTGCAGCCTTCAGTCTCCCCAAATGCACACACAGACCCTAGAAAGCCCTTCCCTTCTGGTTCCCAGACCTCTACTGCCTCGGGTTTCCAGGCCATCTGTTCTGTCTCCAAACCTGTCTCTGGGACCTGGCTAAAGGATTGCCTCTGCCTTGGAGGAAAGGGACATATTTTCCAAATTAGCACAGAATGCACTGTAGGTAGGTGCTTTCTGTGACCCTAGGAAGGGGATGATTTGGAGTTGCTCTGGAAAATAATTCCATGCCAGGAGTTGGAACTAGATCCTGGCTGTCAGCTCTATACTGTGTAACTCAATGCCAGGCTTCAGTTTCTATCCTTTACAGAGAAAGAGGTTGGGAGTGATCTTGGCCAGGGATTCTCAAAGTGTGGTTTCAGGACCAGCAGCATCACCTGGGAACTTGCAAATGAAAATTCTCAGGTCCCTTCCAGACCTACTGAATCCTGGGGGTGGGGGGGGAGGGGGTAGGGCCAGCAATCTGCTTTAGCAAGCCCTCCAGGTGAGTCTATGGCCCACCCAAGGTTGAGAACCTCTGGTCTAGTATATACGGCAAAGATCCTTGAGGGCAGGAGGAGAATGAGAAGCTCTGGCTTTAGATCTCTCCTCTCTGAGCCTCAGTTTCCACATCTGGAAAAGGGGTGTCACGTTCCACCATCTGTAGACTCCCTCGCAGTTCTTTTTTTTTTATGAGATGGAGTCTCTATCACCCAGGCTAGAGTACAGTGGCCATGATCTCTGCTCACTGCAACCTCTGCCTCCCAGCTTCAAGCAATTCTCATGCCTCAGCCTCCCGAGTGGCTGGAATGATTACAGGTGTGCGCCACCACGCCTGGCTAAGTTTTTTTTTTGTTTTTTTTTTTTGTTTTTTTGAGACAGAGTTTTTTTTTGCTCTATTGCCCAGGCTGGAGTGCAATGGTATGATCTCGGCTCACCGCAACCACAACCTCCACCTCCCAGGTTCAAGTGATTCTTCTGCCTCAGCCTCCCAAATAGCTGGGACTACAGGCATGCACCACCATGCCCAGCTAATTTTTTTGTATTTTTAGTAGAGACAGGGTTTCTTCATGTTGGCCAGGCTGGTCTTGAACTCCCGACCTCAGGTGATCCACCCGCCTCAGCCTTCCAAAATGCTGGGATTACGGGTGTGAGCCACTGTGATTGTCATTTTTGTATTTTTAGAAGAGACCATGTCACCATGTTCAGCTGGTCTCAAACCCCTGATTTCAAATGATCATCCTGCCTCGGCCTCCCAAAGTGCTGGGATTACTGCGCCCGGCCTCTGTCATTATTTTAAACTCCTTCACCTCCCAGGATCTTAGTTTTCCCAACTGGGAAATTGGTCAGAATAAGGATTAATGAATAATCCCCCCATCATGTTTCTCATCTGAAAAGTGGGAGAACAAGGAGGAAGTCAAAGTTCAAAATTCCAGGGCAGAAATTCCGAAACTAGAATGAGGGTGGGGTTTGTGAACAGCGCGGATTCCATCTTTGCTTCTAGAAACTCTAACCCGGTGGGCTGGGGTGTCTGGGGCCCTCATATATGATGCTTTTCCCTGCTGATGTTGCTGTAAGGGGCCTGTGGACGCGGTTGGACAAATCTAAACGTTTCAACGCTTCCATGGCTGGACCTAAATGTCTCCTTCTGTGAAGTGAGAGGAAAGGAAGGCAGAGTCCCACCAAGCCTCTTTAGAGTTCTTTCTGGTCCTGATAGGGCCACTTCTGGACCACACAGCATCTTTGTGGAAATTGGAAAAACACGCTCCTTCCTCTGGGTGGATGCAGCCTCCTGTGAGGGTCTGATTGGGTTTTGGCCCCCTCTCGACTCTCCACTCTCAACCGAGTGCTCTGAATGCACCAACCCAGGTAGCCTAACTGAGACCATACCAGCATGGAGATTGGGTAGACCCAGTCTCAAATCCCAGAGTGGCTAAGCAACTTGCCCAGGTCACACAGCAGAAAGTCAGGCAGGCTTTCCAAAGCTCAGAACTGATTGGGTTTTTGTCCAGGTGATTCTTAGGACTATGCGTACATATGGGGAGGGGAGGAAAACGGAGGGGAGGGGATGTCATGGAAACCCCCATGGTAGGGTTTCAGAACTAACCCACCCTTCCCCATAGGCAGGCTGTTAACGCCACCGGGCACCTCTCCGACACACTGTGGCTGATCCCCATCACATTCCTGACCATTGGCTATGGTGACGTGGTGCCAGGCACCATGTGGGGCAAGATCGTCTGCCTCTGCACTGGAGTCATGGTGAGTACAACCCTCTTGGGGACTGATCCTTATCCCAAACTGGTTATCCTTGGACTCCAGGAAGCCATGGAGGCAACCCAGGCTCTCACGGACAGCTCCTAAGAAACTTGAGTGTCTGGGGCCCCCACAGCCACGTTCTCTCTTCAAGACCAAGATACTCACCTGTAATCCCAACCTCATGGGAGGCCAAGGTGGGAGGATCACTTGAGCCCAAGAGTTTGAGGTTACAGTGAGCTATGATCGTTCTACTGCACTCCAGCCTGGGTGACGGATTGAGGCCCTGTCTCTAAAAAATAAAATAAAAGCTGGGCGTGGTGGCTCACGCCTGTAATCTCAGAACTTTGGGAGGCTGAGGTGGGCGGATCACGAGATCAGGAATTCAAGACCAGCCTTGCCAACATGGTGAAACCCTGACTCTACTAAAAAAAAAAAAAAAAAAAAAAAAAATTAGCCGGGCATGGTGGCGGGTGCCTGTAATCCCAGCTTCTCAGGAGGCTGAGGCAGGAGAATCGCTTGAACCCAGGAGGTGGAGGCTGTAGTGAGCCAAGATCATGCCATTGCACTCCAGCCTGGGCAACAAGAGCAAGATTCCATCTCAAAATAATAATAATAATAAATTAAAAATCAGACCTAGGAATCCAGCCCCTAAGTCCTTGCTCTCTCTAGAACCTGGGGCTCCATCCTTATCCTCCTCAGGAACCCAGGATCCTGACTTCGAAGACCCATTTTCTTTCATCTCTCAGCCTCCATCAAGGGTGCAGAGTCCAGTTATCAAGTGCATGCCTGTGGGGCCAGGCTACCTGGGTCCAAATCCTGCCTCTGCCACTTCCTGGCTGGTGAGCTGAGGCGAGCAATGTGATCTCTCTGGGCCTCACTTTCCTCATCTGTGAACTAGGGATGCTGAGCTAGTGACTCCTCACGGGCTTGCTGAGATGATTAATGGGTTTGACCATGTAAAGGACTTCCAACATTGCCCAGCCCACAGGAAGTGCTCAGTAAAAAGGCATCCAGCCACCCCCACACCAGCTCCTGTGCCCTCAAGGATGAGGCAGAGGCTCTGCAGCCCCTGAGTCAGCCTCTTCCTGAACCCTGACAGCTACCTCCTTACCTCCATAGACCCAGTCACTCAGGTCCTCTACCCCAACCCTGGCCCCCTCTAGAGACCAGCCCTAATGCCTTGACCTTCACCTCCCTACAAGATCTGGTTCCTGTCACCCTCGGGGACCAAAGCCACCAGCTCCTAGCCCAGATGTGGGCTCAGGAAGGATATATTGATCCCCCCAATCCCTGGGTGCACAAATGAAAGATGTGGTGACCTCCACTCCCCCAGTGGTGAGTCTTTGGAGCAAGGGAAGAGGGGCAGAGACTCAGTCAGGGACCTGCAGGGCCACACAGGACCTCCCTCATTAGACAAAAGGAGAAACAGAAACCTAGAGAGATGCTCACAGCCTGCTCCTGGCAGAAAGGCTCCACAGCATGGTTGAGTCATTATCGCTTACTTTTACTGAGCACATACTCTGTGCCAGCCTCTGCCCTAAACACGTAACAGGGGTAACTCATGAAATCCACTGAGTAACCCTGTGAGGCCCTGCCCATTTCACAGATGAGACACTGAAATTCTGAGAGATTAAATAAGTTGCTTAGGGCTGGCCTTGGAACCCAGGCAGTCCCCTGGAGCCAGTGTTTGTGACTTGAAGTTGTTCTGAGTGATCAAGAGCTGAAACTATAGGGTAGGGGATACTTCCAAGGAGGACTCATTCTAACGTGGGGACAGGTGAGCAGGTGCTATGAGCAGCTAGGGGTTGGCAAGGCATTGAAGGACCAGGAGCATTAGGAGAAGAAACGGAGGAGAATGTACAGAGGAAGGTGCTCAGGGAGGGCAGTGTGGATGGAGTCAGGGCTGAGTTGTCTGGGTGGGAGGTGTGAACCCTGGAAAGCTTTGGGAGCCAGGCTGAGAAGTTCAGGGCAGTGGAAGCCTAGGAGATTAGAGTGGGCCAAGGGGGTTGGGGAGGGTGAGTGAGAGGCTGGAGATGGTCCAGGAAGGAGAGGATAGGGCTGGAGCTAGGAAGTGGCTGTGGGAGTGGGAGGATGAGGGACACCCTCCACAACACAGTGGCGGACCACGTCAGCAGTGAGGACCCAGATTCCTACCTTTGGCCCAGACCCAGCCTTCCCTTGCTCCTCCAATCATACCCTTCATGAAAGAGCCCATCCTGTGGGCGTGAATACTACACATCAAATTTGGGGTCGGACATAAACGACTTATGATTCTAGCTCCACCACTCTGAGCTAGGGACCTTGGCTCTCCTCTCTGAGCCTGTTTGATTGTCTGTCAACTGGGGATGGTTGTACCTGCCTTGTGTGGCTGTTGGGCAGGTTTAGGAGGGAGTTGGTGGCACATTCTCATGCCACAGGGCCTGTTCTGCCCACAGGGGGTCTGCTGCACAGCACTGCTGGTGGCTGTGGTGGCCCGGAAGCTGGAGTTCAACAAGGCGGAGAAGCATGTGCACAACTTCATGATGGATATCCAGTATGCCAAAGAGGTGAGGATGGGCATATGGCACCCACAGTACACCACTCTTTCTTTTCTTTATTGAGATGGAGTCTTGCTCTGTCACTCAAGCTGGATTGCAGTGGCCTGATCTCAGCTTACTGCAACCTCTGCCTTCCAGAGGGTTCAAGTGATTCTCCTGCCTCAGCCTCCTGAATAGCTGGGATTATAGGCGAGCGCCACCATGCCCAACTAATTTTTGCATTTTTAGTAGCGACAGGGTTTCACCATGTTGGTCAGGTTGGACTCGAACTCCTGACCTTATGATCCACCTGCCTTGGCCTCCCAAAGTGCTGGCATTACAAGCGTGAGCCACCATGCCCAGTCGGCACACCCCTCTTTCAAGAGGCCTGAGTCCAGCCCCCCCACCACCCTGCTTCCCTAGGACCCAAGAGTCCCAGCCCTAGCCCTGCCTTCCCAGAGCCCCAAGGGTCTATCTCCACTGACACTGTGCCCCACCCACCCCCAGATGAAGGAGTCCGCTGCCCGAGTGCTGCAAGAAGCCTGGAGGTTCTACAAACATACTCGCAGGAAGGAGTCCCGAGCCGCCCGCAGGCATCAGCGCAGGCTGCTGGCTGCCATCAACGCGTGAGGGCTGCTTTGTATGCGCATGTATCTGTGTGCACCCATGTCCCAGTCACCTCTCTGAATGGCTTGTGTGTGTGCGTGTCCATGCCTGTCCAGGTCAGGACGCCCAGGTGTGGTCTCACGTAACAGCCTGTCCACATGGATCTGACCATGCATGACCCTCCATATGTCTGGTTTGTTTTTGCATATCTTGGCTCATCTGTGGACCTGGGTACCTGGGTCTCTACTGGGGATGGGGGCTCATGGGGATGCAGGGTGCAGTCCTCCCCTCCCACTCCTTCAGCTCTTTGACAACTTTTCTTGTTTTTGAGTGGATTCCTAATGAAGTCTCGTTCTTGTTGCCCAAGCTGGAGTGCAATAGCACGATCTCAGCTCACTGCAACCTTTACCTCCCATGTTCAAGTGATTCTCCTGCCTCAGCCTCCTGAGTGGCTAGGATTACAGGCATCCACCACCACATCTGGCTAATTTTTGTATTCTTAGTAGAGACAGGCTTTTACCATGTTGGCCAGGCTGGTCTTGAACTCCTGACCTCAGGCGATCTGCCCGCCCCGGCCTCCCAAAGTGTTGGGATTACAGGTGTGAGCCACTGCATCTGGCCAACTTTTCTTCTTTGTTCTGTTTCTTCATTTGCTTATCTTCCCTTCATTCCACCCCTGAGCTACAGCCACGTTTAGGGACCAGGCTTGTAGAACTGACTCCCCACTTCTTCCCACAGGTTCCGCCAGGTGCGGCTGAAACACAGGAAGCTCCGGGAACAAGTGAACTCCATGGTGGACATCTCCAAGGTACAAGGATCCCGTGGCAGGAGGTCTCCAAGAATGGGGAGGTTGGGGCCACAGAAATGGAAATCTGGCCCTAGAACAGGGAACCTTGGCAGGGGCCTCGAACACACAGGTTGTCAGTAAAGGCCTGTGGTTGAATGAAAGGAAGGAAGGAAGGAATGAATGATCTAACACAGAGCTTTTTACATTCACGCAAGGCACAGATCCCTTATAAACTTAGAAAAAAAATATTGCACAAAGAACCTCAGTGTTTGGTTTCAAAACATCTTTATGGTTAAGTTACTTATATGTGGACGGATATAAAATTCTTTCCAACTACAATTCATACAATAAAACCAAAGCAAATTTACAAACCAAGCCCTTAGATGGCAAAACCAATAAAATTAAAATTAACAACACTGACAAGAAGACAGGTGACATTGTTTCCGTAAAACTCAATCTCTGCTGCTCCTGTGGACGGGGTGCCCAGGGCCACAGGGACTTCCATGCAAGCTTGCCCGGCCAAGGCATGACTCAGCTACTTGCCCCTTCCTTCTGCTGAGACCACTTGATTTCGCCAGTGCCCAGGGACAGTGAAGCCACAACACCCCCTTGGCCCCGCTCACAGCACCTTCTGGTTATCCCGTGGCCTTTGCTTTTTCTTATTAGCCCACGACAGTTTAAACAGTGGCCCCTGGCACCAATGCCATGGTAAGAACAGTCACAGATGCAGGTCTCAGTGAGGAGGCGGTGGCCCAGATCTGCAGGAATGGGCAGGCGGTAATTTCTGAAGGTCATCAAGCCAAAAATACGCAATTCAAGAATTTCCACAGAAAACTCACAAACCCTCAGGGATCAAGCCCTAGTGAGAGAATGTAGTCAAAGACTGTGGATGTTGAAGTTGGGTATCATCCATGCTACAAATATTTAATGAACACCTACTATGTTCTAGGCCGTATTTCAGGGGCTGCCTTGGGCATGTCATTTAACTGTTCCATGCCTGTTTGCTCAGCTGTAAGATGGGAACAGGATTTCAACTCCCCATGGCTTTTAGGAGTTTAAACCATACCAGGAAACACCTGGGCAGGTAGCTGGGACATGGTAGGTGGTCAATCCATGTTAACAGTTATTATTGAGGATAATCCTGAGAGGACCATAAGGTTGTAGTCAATGTTGGTTCCTTTGCCTTTTGCTATGGAGCAGGTGGGGGTCGACCCCAGCCCCCTGACGCCACTGACCCTCTCCTCCCCCTCAGATGCAGATGATCCTGTATGACCTGCAGCTGAATCTGAGCAGCTCACACCGGGCCCTAGAGAAACAGATTGACACGCTGTCGGGGAAGCTAGATACCCTGACCGAGCTGCTCAGCACAGCCTTGGGGCCGCGGCAGCTTCCAGAACCCAGTCAGGAGACCACGTAGCTGGTGAGTGGGCTGGAACCTGGGCAGGAAGGCATCCTGGAGGAAGGGTTCCTGTGGCCAGCACCCTGTGTGGCCAAGGGGGCAGGGGATGGCCTGGAGACAAGGCCACGTTTTCTCTTCAGCTCAGGGCTGGACTGGCAGTGAAGATGTTTACTCTCCCCTTCACTAACGCTTGATGCCCTTCTCCCTCTTTGCTTGCTCTCTCTCTGCCTGTCCTGGGCACATTCTCTGGCTCTGTCCATCCAATGTCTCTGTCTGAATGTCTCTGTCCCTCCCACACCCTGGCCTCAGGGCCTGGAGATACCTACTCTCCGCCTCCCACCTCTGCCCACCGGTTTCCGTCTGCACCTCGGTGTGTCCCACTCTTGCTCCTCCTCTTCCTGGCCGGCCTGCCCATCAGTCTCTCTGTCTCTCCAGGACCCAGGGAGGAGGAATCAGGCTACTTTCCCCAGGACTGAGGTGATGGACACCCTCTCTGCCACTCCGGACCAGCCCTGAACAAAGTACCTCAAGTGCAAAGAGCAAATGGGGCCCTGGCTTGGAGTGGGTTGGCTCGCTGACGGCTGCTGGAGGGGACGCTGGCTGAAGTGGGGAGGCCCTGGCCCACCCGAGACCCTAGGTGGGAACATGGTCACCACCACTCTGCACACCCTCATCAAAAACACTCTCACTATGCTGCTATGGACAACCTCCAGCTCTCGGTTACAAGTGGAGGTGCCTGGAGGCCGGACTCCTGGGTCTCTGGGGAAGAGGGCACTGGGGGCCTGGATCCTGGATTCTGGGAGGCTTCAGTTACCGCTGGCGGAGCTGAAGCACTGGGTTTGAGGCTGGGGTGGGACAGGAGGTGGCACACCCTGGCGGAACAACAAAGAGGACACCATTTTCCCAGAGCTGCAGAGAACACCTGGTGGGGGAGGAAGAAGTGTAACTCACCAGCCTCTGCTCTTATCTTTGTAATAAATGTTAAACAAAGCCAGAAGTTGACATTTCCCTCTAAACATGTCTACGCTCCTAACTGGCAGGCCGGTGGAGGACCGTTGCCCTGTCTGAACCTGTTTCAGAGGCCTCCTCCCCTAAGTGCCCTCCCAGCTCTGTAGGCTGGGCAGTCCTTGGCAAACCCCTGCCCAGATCTCAGGCAAAGATCAATGGCTTTGAACTCACACAGATCAGGGTCCAAATCCTGGTTCTGCCCTCCACTGGCTGTGTAACCTTGGGTAAGTGGCTTCACCTCTTAATAGTTTACCTTACCTGTAAGATGGGACTGCCTCCCCATGGAACTGCTGTGAAGGTTAAAACAGAGTAGCCCAGAGGCATTTAGTAAGAACCAAATATGTGAGAGAGAATCTTTTTTGTTTTTGTTTTTAGATGGAGTCTTGCTCTGTCGCCCAGGCTGGAGTGCAGTGGCATGATCTCTGCTCACTGCAACCTCCGCCTCCTGGGTTCAAGCGATCCTCCTGCCTCAGCCCCCGAGTAGCTGGGATTACATGCACCTGCCACCATGACCAGCTAATTTTTGTATTTTTAGTAGCGATGGAGTTTCACTGTGTTGTGAAGGCTGGTCTTGAACTCCTGGGCTCAAGCCATCTGCCCGAGTCAGCCTCCCAAAGTGCCGGGATTACAGGTGTGAGCCACTGCGCCTGGCCAATAATCATTTTTATCATTGTTTTTGATTTTCACACACAATGCATGGCTGCCCTTTTTCTGATTTTTTTGTTGCTTGTCTCCCTCTATTCATGCCTTACCAGAATCTAGATGACAACTCACCCATCAAGAGACTAACAAAAGCCCCAAACCGCCCCAAACCACCCACATACCCGTCTCACATCCGCTCAAGAGAGGATGTGAAAGGGAAGGGGGCAAACAAGGGGCTGACACTGCCAGAGGTCCTACTGTGTGCTCAGCTCTGTTTATAAGTCACCATAACCACTCTCCTGACCCTACTGCACAGATACAGAAACTGAGGATTCAAGGCTCTTCTTGGAGCTTCCCTACCCCACTGCATAGAGATAGAAACCGAGTTTGAAGGGGGGCCAGGCCTCCCCTCAGGCCCCTAGCCGGAAGCTAGGAATCCAGGCTGCAGAGCCCAGATTCACGCCCATCCCGCCCTACTGCCGAGGTGAGTCAGAGGCAGAGTGGCCTTGGGCCTCAAACCCCGGACTAACTTCCCGCAGTGGCTTCATTCCAGCTTGAGGGGCTGATTCATTCTTACTTCCCTCCTCTGGAGGGAAAGATCAGGCTGCAAGTCATCCCTTTCTGCTGAGCTATCTTTGGATTTCCCTTAAAGTCCACAGCCAGCCTCGCCCCTTCATCCCTGAGAGCTAAATTGGGGCCTTTGCCACCCACTGCCACAAACTGCCACAAACTGCCCTTCCTCTGGAGACCGGCCCACCTGGGGAGTCAAGGCGGGGACTCAAGAAAGGAAATGGATGAGACCTCCAGAAATTGCTGACACCCTTCCCCTGCAAGAATCCCTCCTGGCAGTGTTGCCAAAGCCTCTGCCAAACTTGTTCTTCTGGGACCACTCTTTCCTTGCCCACTCCCTTTTAGCTGGCAGACTCCTTCCTATGCCTCTTTCAGGCCTCAGCTTACATATCCTCTCCTCCAGGAGGCCCTGTCTGACACTCCTACAGCCTCATAAACATACCCTGATCACAATAATCATATTGGGTCTGGCTAGGCATGGTGGCTCACACCTGTAATACCAGCACTTTTGGAGGCCAAGGTGGGCAGAGCACCTGAGGCCAGGAGTTTGAGACTAGTCTAGCCAACATGGTGAAATCCTGTCTCTACTAAAGATATAAAAATTAGCCAGATGTGGCGGTGTGCGCCAGCTACTTGGGAGTCTGACTGAGGCAGAATTGCTTGAACCCAGGAGGCAGAGGTTGCAGTGAGCCAAGATTGCATCACTGCACTCCAGCCTGGGTGACAGAGTGATACTCTGTCTCAAACAACAACAAATTAACCAGGTGTAGGGGCACACACCTGTAGTCCCAGCTACTTGGGAGGCTGAGCTAGGAGGATCATGTGAGAAACCTGGGAAGTTGAGGCTGTAGTGAGCTGTGACTATGCCACTGTACTCCAGCCTGGATGACAAAGTGAGACTCTGTCTCAAATAATAACATTGGGTCAAGCATCATGCTAAGTCCTTTTAATAAGTGATCTCAATGAAAGGAGGCAAGGTAGGCACTGTTGGTCCCATTTAACAGATGAGGTAACTGCCCAAAGCCATAGCAAAGAAGTTCAGAGCCAGGATGTGACCCAGGCAGCCTGGCTCCAGAGCCCCAGCACTTAGCCACCTGGCCCATTCGGACACTCAAGAGATCTTCACATTTTTTTTTTTTTTTTTTGAGATGGAGTCTCACTCTTATCACCCAGGCTGGAGTGCAGTGGCAAGATCTTGGCTCACTGCAACCTCCACCTCCTGGGTTCAAGCGGTTCTCCTGCCTCAGGCTCCCAAGTAGCTGGGATCACAGGCATGTGCCACCATGCCCGGCTAATTTTTTTGTATTTTTTTAGTAGAGATGGTGTTTCACCATGTTAGCCAGGATGGTCTTGAGCTCCTGACCTCATGATTCACCTGCCTTGGCCTCCCAAGGTGCTGGGATTACAGGCATGAGCCACCGCACCCTGCCCATATTTTCATTTTTGTTCACAATTGTGTCTTCAATACCAAGGGCCTGGTATAGACAGGATCTCAGTGAATGTCACTAAATGAACCCTCTGAATGCCTGGGAGGGCCTGAAGCCATTCATGTTGGTTTCAGCTGAGGCAAGGTTGGAACCAGTGAGAAGGGGCTTTTGACCAAGAACCTGGAAAATACAAGAGATCCTGTGTTCTGAATTATCTTGCCTCTGCCCTGGCCCACCTGCCCTCATTCTCCACTGTGGGGCTCAGGCCTGGATGCCCCCACTTCTCGCAGGTTTGCACCCTCCTCACCAAATCAACACTTTCTGAAGGCCCTGGGCCAGGAGCCGGGCTGCAGACATGAATCAGAGGGCTCTGTCCTCCGGAGTCACAGTCTCATGGTGATTTTGGCTCCTTTCCTCTCCTACTTCTGTTCTGCCTGCACTCCCATGAGGACTGGGTGCCCAGAGAGGGGCAGGGGCTTTCCCAGGATAATATAGCCAGTCACCGGCCTTTCCCTTTCATGATACCCCCAACTGCCCTGAAGACCCTTCTAACACCCACACCCTTGCCATGCTCAAAGCCCTTCCATTCCTCCTGCTGCCCTCATGTGAAAGTCTAGCTCTGAGTTCAGCTCTTAGTTTTTTAGAGACAGGGTCTTGCTCTGTCACCCAGGCTGGAGTACAGTGGTACAATCATAGCTCACTGCATCCTTGAACTCCGGCACTTAAGTGATCCTCCTGCCTCAGTCTCCCAAGCAGCTGGGACTACAGGTGTGTGCCACCATGCCTAGCTCTCTTTTTTTCTTTAACTGACACAGATTTCATTTACATTAAGTTCAAAAACAGACACACCTAATCTCTGTGCCTGTTTTTTGTTTTTCAAGACAGAGGTTTCCTCTTGTTGCCCAGGCTGGAGTGCAATCTCAGCTCACTGCAACCTCCGCCTCCCGGGTTCAAGTGATTCTCCTGCCTCAGCCTCCCAAGTGGCTGGGATTACAGGCGCCCACCACTACGCCAGACTAATTTTGTATTTTCTCCATGTTGCTCAGGCTGGTCTCAAACTCCTGACCTCAAGTGATCTGCCCACCTCGGCTTCCTAAAGTGCTGGGATTACAGGAGCAAACTACCATACCCGGCCTCTGTGTCTGTTTTTGATTGGCATCAGGTGGTGGTTGCTTCAGGAGGAAGGGAACTGAACAGGGAAAGGGCACAAGGAAGATGTCTGGGTGCTGGAAATGTTCTCTGATTAGCAGTTACATGGATATATATATTGGTAAAAATTCATTGCCCGGAACACTTAAGATCTGTGTCCTTTATATACTTTACCACACTTAAGTTATACTTCACACACACACACACACACACACACACACACACACACACAAGATAAAAGAAAAATAAGTACTTACACATATTTCCTTATAGATACTGAGACGTTTCCATAACATAGTTAGATGGGGGATCAAAAGCCATGTCTTTTCTCTGCTGGGCCTATATCCACCTCCAGCTGCTGCCCCTGTCTCTGGTTAGTCCACTATCTTCTCTTTGGAACCCTTTACTCCCACGGCACCAGGTCATCCCCTACCTGACACTCCTGGCTCCATCTCGGCCCCTCTCCAGGAGCCTGGCTCCTATATGCAGGAGGCTCAGGCTTAGTCCCAGCTCTCTTCAACCTCTCAGCCTAGGTGATCTCAGCAAATCACAGCTTTAACTATCATCTATAGGAGCAGCTCCAAAATTTAGCATATCAGTATAGTTACTAATAATATGACAAGGATATCTGTGATTTTCTCAAAACAAACAAAACTCCAGGGGGCGGAGGGAAGTGTGCTTACATGTGGGAGGGGAAAAATAGAAGAAATAACACAAGTAAAATGCAGATGACTGTCAATACTGGGCGATGGGTACGTGGGAGTCTCTTCCTATCACAGTATCTTTGTGTGTGTTTTTAAAATTCTATAATGACTGCAATCCCAGCCTTTGGGAGGCTGAGCGGGGTAGATTGCTTGAGGCCAGGAGTTCAAGACCCAGCCTAGGCAGCATAGTGAAACCTCATCTCTAAAAAATTAGCTGTGGTGGGTGGTGCGCAGTGGCTCAGGCTTGTAGTCCCAACACTTTTGGAGGCAAAGGAGGGTGGATCACGAGGTCAGGAGATTGAGACCATCCTGGTCAACATGGTCCCAGCTAGTTGGGAGGCTGAGGCAGGAAGATTGCTTGAGTTCGAGAGGTGGAAGTTGCAGGGAGCCAAGATCGTGCCATTGCATTCCAGCCTGGGTGACAGAGCTGGGAGACTTTGTCTCAAAATCAATCAATCAATTAAACGAAATTCTGTAATGAAAGGTCAGAAAAAGTC